TCAACAGATTCATCCAAACTGGAAACGTTAATAAAAAGGAATCAACAGGAAGGCCCCAAATATCGGAAGAAGTTGTCGAAAATCTAAGGGCGCGTGTTGAGCAAAATCCCCAAACGTCATTGAAGAGATTATCTTTACAATCTGGTGTGCCACTAAGTACATGCCATAAAGTGCTCGAGAAAAGATTGCATATGCACCCTTACAAGACCAGTGTACTACAGCAAGTTCTGCCAATAGATATCCCACGTCGTCTGGAGTACTGCCAATGGTTCCAAAATAATCCCAACGATGACCAGCTATTGGACCTAACATTTTTCAGCGATGAGGCTTGGTTTCATTTGTCGGGATACGTGAACTCACAAAATTTTAGGTTTTGGAGATCTAAGAATCCCCACAATTTCATTGAGACTCCACTACATTCTAAAAAAATTGGGGCGTGGTTAGCAGTTTTTCGTAGGCGAATATATGGACCGATTTTCTTCGATGGAACTATCAATGGTGAAAGGTACAGACAAGTGATGTTAGAACCATTCATCCATCAACTAGATGATGAAGAAATTCGTGTTGCTATTTTCAACAAGATGGGGCCACTGCCCACACCACGCGTGCTAATTTAGAATATTTACAAGAATTTTATGACAACCGTGTGATGAGTCGAGGAGTTAATCCTTCTTTTTCAACACGTTCTCCAGATTTGACAGCTTTGAATTACTGCCTTTTTGGATATTTGAAAGACGAAGTATTCCAGAGAGACAATAATAACCTTGAAGAGCTGCAAGCCTCAATAACACATTGCTGCCAAAATATTGGCCCGGAAATGCTGAGGAACATTTTCGATTTTCGACAACAAACGGCGAAGAGTTTTGGAATGCTTGGAGAACAACGGAAAACATTTCGAACATTTGATGTAGGTTAATGAAATAAACCGATATTTATTACTTCTCTAATTGATTTGTTCCATTATTTTTCAAACTCCAATATTGGACTCTCCTTTCTTTGAGATACATTTCCATATAGTGTATGCAAAACGATATAAAAAAAGATCCTGTATATGATCACTTCCTCTCTTTTTGGTCGTTAATTGTTGTTAACAGCATTAGTGAAAGGGGCAAATGGAAAAAAATTTCAACAGCCACTACGATGTTACGATCATTTATAGAGACCCTGTATATATGTTCTCTATTATCATAGAGCCAACTTGAGTACTATATTTTCCCAGTAATACCATGCATCAGAACTTTTAACGATCAAATTTCCTTTACCTATACCGAAGTTGTGCCAATTCTATCAGGAATGAGGATATGCGCATTGGCTATCAGATTGGATATGGCCCTATTCCAATTTTCCAAAGTCGTATACACTAAAAATTGATGCGACAGTCCTTTAATCGTCTTTCCAAAACTAATTTCGAAGTATTACGAATTTCTTACCGAACGTTTGTTTACTGAACCAAATCTAAAGTTGACGAAGATACAGTCTTCTTATACAGGCCATATTGTACTTACCCATCTCCACCCTGTTACAGACGTCCCTTAAGAGTTGGGAGCAACCCCCTATTTTACCCTCAAAAGTGCACTTTTGTGTCGTCCTTCGTCCTCCTTCTTTCAGAATCGCGCTTTCAACAAAAAATCACAGGCTTTGTTTTGTGGTTCAGAAAATTTTTCATCGATCGGGTCATAAGTTTCTATCGCATCTATTTGGCACGTGTGTCACAGAGCACATACTAGAATATTTCCCTCATATATAAAATGAAGGGGTAAGAAGTATAACAGCCTAAGTCACTAATGTGTATACAGGGTGTTCCTAAACATCATGTACATCCGAAAGGGGGTAATTCCTCAGCTCATTTTAAGACTAAAAGTTCATATAAACATTGGTCCGCAAACGCTTTGTTACCGATCTACGGGGTGTTGAAATTTCAAGATTTTTTTTGTTTTTTCTTTATAGATCCTGCAGTTTTTGAGATATGTGGCTCAAATTTGAAACATAGATTATGTTATAGGGCTTACATCGATGGACATCTCAAATGTTTGTGAGAATCTATAAAAAAATTTAAATTTCAACACCCCGTAGATCGGTAACGAAGCGTTTTCGGACCTGAGTTTATATGAACTTTTAGTCTTAAAATGGTCTGAGGAATTACCTCCTTTCGGATGTACATGATGTTTAGGAACACCCTGTATATGTTCGGAGATAATGAGGTTTAAAATTAAGTTGATCTTGATCGGCAGCTTACTTGATATTTACTATTTAGCCGTCATTGGCTGGACAAAACAGCGACATGACATAACAATTAGGAGGTGTTCACGTTCAAGTGTTAAATACCATAAAAACCTTAGATGCTGAAAGCCTGAAACTATACTTGTTGATTTTCAACAATCGTCTATCAATGCAGTGAAAAAAGTATTCTCCAACACGCGTATTGTCGGTTGTTCGTATCATCTGCATATACCTACTAAATATATACGGATAACATCCTATGTTTCAAATGGTCAAAAGTGAAGCCAGTTTTGAGGAAACAAATGACAGTCTGCGGGTGCAAATACCTATTTGCGCATGCGCAAAATTTGTCAAATTCACGAGTCAAAATGGAGGATGAATTTCATTTAAATTTTATTTATATATTATTATGTTGTTGAAGTTTCTTTCCGATGCCTCTGAAAATAATATTCCTCCGCGAAAATGTTTCAGATAGCAGAAAAAGTACATCAAAGCATTGATATTGATGTCAAAGCTGTCAGTGGAATGGGGAAAACAATGAGAGCCACATTCCACATTTGATTCCAATCATTTTTATTTCGAAATTTCAGCGATTTGAGTGCTTTTGAAAATCGGCCGATGGTGGAAGACGAACAGGTATACAAAGCAAGAAATAATGTTAATTTGTTGAAGTGAAAAGTATACAGAAACTTGAGATCTTTGAGCTGATGAAACTTCTGCTGATTTGAAACTCTTGGTTTGTGTATGCTGAAGCCTCATGAAGTCAATTATGCTCCATTGATCCTTTTGCTTACTGAAATGTCAACTACATTTTTAGGTAGTCATAAAGAACTGCAGAACTGGAAGAATTCAGTTGTGAAGCTCACACCCAAGCAAGTGGTGAAGAAAGTCAGGTATAGATGTGATGTAACTAGCTTTTACAATCAAAGGAAGACAAAGATTGAAGAAACTGTTCCTACAAAATTAATCATGCTGTTGGTGAAAAAGAATAATTCTGAATTCTTGGTGAATTGTAAGTCTTATATAATATCTAACTTCCATAAATAGGTAACTGATATTCATTTTCCAGATAACAAATCAACTGCCCTACATAATTATATTTCTACAATGAAGCAGGAAGAACAACATTTGAAAAGATTCAATTACTATCAGAATCACACTTGAGCATGGTCTTGAGATTGAGAATAATGGAGATATTTCATAATCATTTTATTCTTATTCCTTGTATAGAATTAGAAGCTTTCAATTATTCACAGTGTTAATCATATTCTGGTTTATATGTTGAAATAAAGCAAAATTGAGTAGGTACTCATTACATTTTTTATTATAACAGAAAAAGTGAAAAAAAAATTCATTAGATTGGCTACTGAAATTGCACTTGTCTTTTCTATGGAAACATCATAGCCACTTTCACAAGATCAGTCCTGGTGGAAGTTGCATCAGCACTCTGGTAAGCAAGTTCTATCCTTCCAGCATCTTTGTCATTATCAGTTATCAGATTCATTTGATCCTCTTACTGAGGATGATTTGGTTGATTTAGCTGAAGAAGGATTAGAGTCATATTCTATTTTTTTATGTATGTGACCTTCCTCTTTCCCATTCATATCCATTGATCACAGGTTTTACATTTTGATGCATTGTAATTGGTAAATTCTGTGGAGGTATGTAATCTGCATCACAGAAAATGTACCAACTTCTGCAATTGTATTTGGAATCCCTTGAAACTTGAAAGAAAAGCACATTACATAGAACACTGTAAAGATATTTTTCTCAAAATGAAAGAAATTACCTTCATAATCTGTTTCTGAGAATAAGTATCTGCTACAGACAGGCACATATATTTGTAAATGGGCTTCCCAATTTTTGTAATGTTCTGCCACACTTCGTATAATTTTGCATATTATGTTGGGAAGCTGTACATTTGTATGTTTATAATGTCTTTCACTTGTTGGCCATTATTGGAAGTATTCTGAGACAATAAAAAACTTCAGCAAACTCGTTCCAAAACCGCGAATTGAAGCTGTTTGCTTCCTCAGATCCACCAAAACTTCGCAAATATGAATTCCAGTGAAGTCTCGGTCATGATTTCTTGTCTGAGGCTTCAGATTCAGAATGGATTCAGATATCAAAATATAAACATTGAATTTCAGGTTATGTACTAAATACGTAAGTACCAAAAACAATTTTCCGAAAAGAACCCCATCGTATGATTAGTGCAGTTTTACCTTCAGAAAATACCAAGAAGAGTAAAGAGTCTGCCTGGAAGAATTTTTGTTTTTTTGCCAGCAGCAAAACTATGAATTTTGTGCGACTCTACCCCAACTCTCGTGATCGCTAAAATCCTGGAAGAAATCCTGGAAGAAATCATTGAATATTAATGTTCATATGGTCTCATCCATCTCATCAAATTGTCAAAATACAAGGTACTCTCGATGGAATTATGAGAAAAATGATAGTCGGCTATTTGTCACGGTCTCGGGATATTACCTGCGAGAATTTCTTTATTCCTGAAATATTGCAATGAATTATAAATCCGTGCATGAGAATGACCAGATAATTCTGCATTCAAGCGTGTTATATCTGAAAATTGCAAGACTCGGGCAAGACCTCATTCGCCAAAATTTGAAAATATCCGTTTGCAATTTATTTGTGTAACACGTTTGAATGCAAAATTATCTGGTTATTTTTATGCCCTTGTGCAATTATAATCAAAAATATATTATAGGTGAGCAAATTATCGTTTCCTCATATTTTGTCTCAATTTCAGATTGATTACAAACATGATGGAGGAGGATAACGGCAACATAGCAGGATTACTGAAACCCACTTCTAGTAGCAACGAAGATTTGAGCGAATATACCGATGCTGACGAAAGTATATCGGCACCCACCGAATTTCTAGCAGAGGTAATAAATATACAAGGCATCCCAGAATTTCCATAACGCGAGCGATATCTCAAAAATTAAAAGATGAACCAGAGACTTAGATTTAGTAAGGAGTTTAGCATATTTGCTCTGTACACCAAGACTTTTCCATATCTATTGTTTAGACTTTAGAGTGTACTGTGCAACTCATACCCAGCGAGCACAAATAATATCTCTGGGATGTTTTAAGAACTTAGGCATCAGGATAATTTTTTGAGACGTGATATGCATTCTCAAAGAGGTCTTTGAAGGATATTGATAGTACTGTTTTAGTTCTCCTGTGCCTTTTCTTTGTTTGCCCCACTACAACGTCTCATGTTTATTTATTCACAATACTGTCACGAGCGGGTTCTAACCCCCACAATCGTAACTCGAACTAACTCGCTTGCAAGAGGTTTTACGAAAATTATAATCAAAGAATTCAACTCCACTTCACAAATTTATTCATCTTTATCAAAAACCAATTCGGGCATGAGATGAATTGACCAAATACCCAGCAAGATACATCCAACTCAAATAAAAACAAAACAAGAAAACTAAAACTAGTAATATTAAAAAACGTACTTACAGGAAGGCTCGCTTTTCGTTGGAGGATTGGAACTGCCACTCACGAAGTGTAGACATGATGTTCAAGATTTACTTTTTTGTTAGCGAATTTGAAAAAACTATACTTTACGGTCCACTGTTCGAACCACAACTGCCGGTTTTTTCTCTAATACTTTTTCATGTCGGTTTTGGTAGTGGTAATTAATTCAGCATAAAAACTAGTGTATTCACCTCGATTAGGAAAAATCCAAAACCAGCAGTTTCTGCCCGTCAGCGACTTTACTTGAATAATAATAGGATTGAAATCCGAAATCGTACACATATTTTTACATACTTTTTTGATCAAAATGAAGAGATCTATCACCCATTTCAGTTTGTACCTCAAAACCTAAATCACCATAAAAAATGTCCCTCCCTGTAACTCACTTATTTTTTAACCGATTTCAAAATTTTAAAAATCATCCGAAATGATTCTTCAGATTTATTTTCTGCTACATCAGAAAATACAGGGTGCTAGTGTGATGTATTGATGAAATCAGCTCTCCAGAGAAAATCTGAAAATGCAATGACATACAGAGTGTTCCATTTGAAAAAGTCAGCTACTATCCTGTAGATCGTTCGTTCCGACCACCCTGTATTTTCTTATGTAGCGGAAAAATAAATCAGAAAAAATATTTCAGGTGATTTTTGAGATTTTGAAATCGGTTCAGAAGTGAGTGAGCTAGAGGGGGGGACATTTATGATGAATCACCCTGTACATAGATCTAAATCAGTGTATTGATCTATTCAAGAATTTTTGGTACATATTGGAATCAGAAAAAATGGATAAATTCGAAAAGAATTTTCACGTGTCCCATTTCAATTATGGAGTAGTGTATGAATGATATTGCATTTATTTTGCCACAGCTCGAAAAATAAATCCCAGATAATCCGATTCACCGTTACTGCTTTCGGTATGGAAATACACGGTCCATAATTTTTTTTTATTGGCTGTAAGCCGACAGATCTGGAATATTTTCACCATTTTGTCACTATCTGATTTTCCGTAGGCCACTTTCAAATAAACTGGGCTCACATACATTAATACATATTGCTTCAAGAAATCCGAATCCTCGATATATCCACTGAAGATATATATGAATGATGAATATTCTCCATTTCCACGAACCCTTCGAAATTGAGATATACTGGGTGTTTCTGAAATCGGTTCGATACATAAAATGAAGTGTTGAATGAGACATAATGACACGATAGATTTTCCAAATGTACAGTGTGTCCAGTTTTCACTGCTTTTGCGGCGTGTTATCTCAGTTATCTTTGGAGATAGAACCTTGTGGTTTTCGCGGGTCCTGTGCCACTTTTTCGTAAAACGCAATAAAATAGCCTAATCAAATTTCACATAACTGTTTCCGTTTATGAGATACTGGGAGATTTTGAAAATTTATACTTTTTGTACACCCTCTATATCTAAGTTCCTAAGCGAAAACGTCGAATTGAAATCTTATCTTCTAGAGAATTTCACGCAGAATCCAGTGGCATACTCAAATTATTTTTCGAGGTATGGTTTTGGAGATACGACTCAAACTCATGATTTTATACCAAAGAAGCTAGCAAAACTACTTTCGAATTTCAACATGAGACACATCTCATAATTTTAGGCTTATTTTAGGCTAATTTATTACCCCATTCCCGAATTTTTTGCTCCTCCCTATCATAGAAAAATCCCTGGCTTTGCTAGCTTCGGCCGAACTCAGCAAAGCCATTTTTTAAAAACAATATTTTTTGAATATTTGATAAAGTGAGAATGTAGTGCTCATTTTAGGCTAATTTATTACCCTATTCCCAATTTTCTTGCTCCTCTCTATCATAGAAAAATCTGTGGCTTTGCTAGCTTCGGCCGAACTCAGCAGAGCCATTTTTGAAAACATAGATTTATCACCGATTTGATATATTGGGATCAAATGGCTAATTTTAGGCTAATTAAGTACCCTATTTCCGTATTTTTTGTTCAACGTTTCAAACAGAAAAAATACAAGACAATTTGTCGAAATGTATCATTCACTTTACATTATGTATTTCTATCACCTATCTACCTACCTACCTGTGGCTTTGCTAGCTTCGAGTCTATTCTTCAAGCTAACTCAGCAAACTAAAGAAGCCAGCAAAGCGACAGGTTTGTTATAAAAAATATGCAGCAAAAAATTCCAAAATGCAATAGATATTGAGCTCATAATCAATGCTTACACTTTGTCTTGAAAAATCGTCATAAAATATGCTTTTAATAAATATGCATGATGTATAGTGAATAAACGCTTATTTCGACGAATCGTTTCGGTTTCTTTTAGTTTAAAACATCGAGCAAAAAATTCTAAAATAGGATAATTAATTAGCCTAAAATTAGCCTTTTTATACCGATATATCAAATTGGTGAAAAATATAATATTTTTAAAAATGGCTCTGCTGAGTTCGCCCAAAGCCAGCAAAGCCACAGGTATATTTTAAAAAATATGCAGCGAAAAATTCCAAAATGCAATAGATATTGAGCTCATAATCAATACTAACACTTTGTCTTGAAGAATCGTCATAAAACATGCTTCTGATGAATATGCATGATGTATAGTGAATAAACGCCTATTTGGACGAATCGTTTCGGTTGTTTTTAGTTTGAAACAGAAAGATTCGAAAAAAGGGTAATTAATTAGCCTGAAATTATCTCTTCAATATGGATATATCAAATCAGTGAAAAATATATTATTTCAAAAAATGGCTCTGCTGAGTTCGTCCGAAGCCAGCAAAGCCACAGGTTTCTTTTAAAAAATATGTAGCAAAAAATTTCAAAATGTGATAGTTATGAAGCTTACAATCGATACGAACACTTTGCCTCATAAAATCGTCATAAAATATGCTTTTGATAGAAATACATAATGTAAAGTGAATGACACATATTTCGACAAATTGTCTTGTATTTTTTCTGTTTGAAACGTTGAGCAAAAAATACGAAAATAGAGTAATTAATTAGCCTAGAATTTGCCCTTTAATATCAAATCGGTGAAAAATCTATGTTTTCAAAAATGGCTCTGCTGAGTTCGGCCGAAGCTAGCAAAGCCACAGATTTTTCTATGATAGAGAGGAGCAAGAAAATTGGGAATAGGGTAATAAATTACTATATCAGATATTCAAAAAATATTGTTTTTCGAAAATGGCTTTGCTGAGTTCGGCCGAAGCTAGCAAAGCCACAGATTTTTCTATAATAGGGAGGAGCAAAAAATTCGGGAATGGAGTAATGAATTAGCCTAAAATGAGCCTAAAATTATGAGATGTGTCTCATGTTGAAATTCGAAAGTGGCTTTGCTAGCTTCATTGGTATCTCTAGTAAACAAAAACATTAGTATTGTATCAGAGACAGCCAGGCTGCTCTTAAAGCACTGAGCTCCAGCAAGATGAATTCTGAGCTTGTATGGAGCTGTATTGAATCCCTAGAATTCCAGGGTACTAACAACAGAGTTACTTTGCTGTGGGTGCCTGGACACCAGGGGGTGGAGGGCAACGAGAAAGCCGACATCCCTGTGTTCATAGGACCACAAACCACACTTTGGGATCACCGCAAGTGCGGCCAAAATAACTATCTCAGACTGGGCGGAGGGGAAAAGACTCACGTACTGGCCTGAATTCTGCCTACACCATCGAACAATATAACCAGGCAGATCCTAGAATGGAGCAGGAATAACCTGAGAATTCTAACAGGACTGCTTACGGGACACTGTCGTCTAAGATACCACCTGGGAAGGATGGGTCTGAACCAACAAACGGAATGTCGGTTGTGCTATGTGGAAAACTAAACGGCTGAACACAAATAATGTTCATGCTCTCGCTTAGAGAGACTGAGGTTCGACATATTCGGCTTTATCAACTTAGAACCTATCGGTTTCAGACAAATCTCATCTAATACAACCATCACGGACTTAGTAAAAATGGTAAAAAGATGTGGATTGTATAGTGAACTGTAACGTCTAGGGGTCGCAGTGGATGCTGATGATACGGCAGTTCTTGCATATTCGACAAATTTCGAGCAAGCAGCTATGAACCTCCAAAGCGCGCTGAATTCTCTTCAGGAGTACTTCCTAAGATAGAAGATCAAATTGAATCCTGCAAAAACACAATTGGTCGCACTCGGAAGGGAGCTGAGGCCTCCCAGAACCAGAATAGTCCTGGATGGTCATGAGTTAGAGTGGTCTTCACAAGTTAAATACTCAGGTGTGTGCATTGACAAAAAGCTCGCCTGGGCCCAGCACATTGAACAGCAAATTTCAAAAGCTAAACGAGCCATTGGAGCCCTGTATCCATTTCTAAACAGACGAAGTAAATTGGGTTTGAGACAAAAATTGAATATTTACATCATGGCTATCAGGCCAATTTTACTGTATGCCTCGGTAGTCTAGGGCCACACAGCTAAATCTCTTATCACCAGATTACAAACATTACAAAACAAAATCGTGAGAATGGTGACAGGATCTCCTTGGTATGTTCGGAATAACCAGATCGCCAGGGATCTGAAACTCCCTTCAAACGTGTCAGTCATTATAGAGAACGAAACATCAAGACCATTCAAGACTTTCGAAAAGCTGAGGTTCATGAGAATCAGCTTCTTCGAAATGCAGTTGATTATGACCCAGATGATCAATCAAAGTTCAAAAGACCGAGATTGTCCATAAACTAGAGAAAACATCAACTTTATGACCAAATTTACTCTCCTCTAGTTTTTGATATTTATTTGTTCCGTTCGATCTTCTTCAATTCTCAGAATGTATTTTTGAAACTTATTTGGAGCAGAAAGGCTGTTCGCATTAAACTTCAATACCGTTTTCATTTTGTTTTTTTATTGTTTAATGATAGATATCAGGATAGGGGGGACTCTTCCCTGATCTGTATCAAATAAAAGAAAGATCCACAAAAAAAAGTGGAGGGGCGGTATTCGCCTACTCACATGGAACCTAACCTAACCTAACCTAACCCATTTTGATCAGAGTAACCGACAGAGATGTCAAAACACACATGTTTTGTCCCCATGGCTCAAGGGAACATTAGCAAATTATATATTTTTGTAAACAGAAGAAAAATATCTTTCACTAGAACTAAGAATATACAGGGTGTTCCTTAAAAAAACTTATTTGGACTCTTTTCCTTCATTTAGCGAATTGTTTGTTCGTTTGGTTGGGGAGTGTCAGAAGATATTAAAAATTAAACCCTACAATACTTTCATATTTGAAGTTTTTTCCACCTCGTATAGTTGAAGCTGTAGGTAGGGGGTCAAAATATAAGAAGAAACCCTCTACATGGACCAAATAAAATTTACATATAAGAGTTTTCTTTCGTTTTTTCAGTTCCTATCGGCATTGATGCTGAAGGACTATGCAACATCCTTGAAATATTGCAAATTGAGTAAGTACCTATATATCTACTTCCACACGCTCTTTTAATTTGCAGTTATAGTAACGTTTTCCCTGATTTCACAGATTCTGTAGTAGGTATTGAACATGAGGAAAATTATTTGAACGAAAGCAAAATTCGATTGATTTGAACATGGATTTGAATCTTTATAATAGTCGTAATAATCCTATAGAAAAGTTTGGGTTGGTGAAGTTTTTGTCTAACATAAGTTCTCATTGAATCATGTTGTAAACTTCTATGAACTGATTGAACCTGCTGAATCGTAAAGTTTCTTGATGAACAGATTCTGAAATACTGAGTTACAAATCGGTAATTTTTATTTAATTATTTTCTCGAAACTCCAAGGTGCCAAGTGGATTTTTTTTTCGCTCATATCATTAACGTACCTCCATTTCACTCCCATGTTCCCATACATAATTCAACAAGTACTAAGTCACGAACGCTATATGCATATTAAACAAACTAATGCGATTTCATGGCATTTTCTCATCCCTGTGTCTCGAAGCGAGACAATGTGAATTTTACCCAAACCATCCCAAACGCAGGACGCAATGTATGTAAATGAGAAATGAGGGATACGAATTTAACGTGTGAATTAAGGAGTCAGACACTAATACAATATTAATCCCTCGTTTTCCATACAGTTCTGCAATACGAACCGAACAATGCCACTGCAAAGGAATTCTACCCACTCATCCTGGAAAAGCTCCAGCACAGTAAGTACCGTCTGTAGGTTAATCGAGGACCGAGGAGGAGGTACATTCATTATTCCAGATTTTTTTGGATTTCCTCTCCTCGTCTCCATAAAATAAAAATATCAATATCATTTCAATACACGTGTATTAAGGACAAAATGTCACTGCGTTTGAAGAAAGTCTGAAAGAAGAATAATTCACTAGCTTGTCAGTGACAATTTGTATTGAAAATGGTTTGGAGAAGGGAAATATAGAAAAAATATCAAATTTTCTTGTCTTGATCAGGAAAGCCTTCAAGATTCACATACTTGCTCGATCAGTATTTCATTCATTCTCAGGATCTGATTAATTGGATAACTTCTCAGTCGTTCTTGAAGTTTTCACATTTGGATAAGCTGTATGACTCGCACAACGATGTTCACCTTCATTCAATTACAATTTGACTACGACTGTTCATCCTGACTCTGGCCAAAATACACCAAGAAACAACTGACGTCATAACTTCTATCATGTCAACAGCGTCAACAAAAACGCTCGAGGATAAACTCAAGATGAGAGCCAACGCTTATTGGCGTCATATATAATGTATTTATGGGGGTGGAAGCATTAACTGAACATTTATCGACACTCAAATTTAATGGATATCAATGATGAGTAGATTCAGAGTCGACTTATCAAGTATTGAATCGATAAAGTGCGTAGTATTATAGAAAGTCCATATGTAACTAAGTAATCAATGTCTGTCGTTTCCACAATGAAGATTTTTTTTCTTTAGCGAATGATGGAGGAAGTAGTAATGATAACGAAAGCGAAGAAGACGTTAGTGAATGCAGCTCCAGTTGCAGCGGAGATACAGAAAATAGCAGTTCAGAAGAAAGCAGTGAAGTGCAAGAGGTAGGCAATTTTGAATATTATGTCAATAGTTTTACTGAGACTGTCTTCATAACCGATTTTCCTCATTTCTCTGTAGGGTCATAACTTTAGTATGATTTTCTGATATTTGCTAAAGTTTTTCCAAAAACAATACATACATAATAGGTAGAAAAACGAACTTCAAAAAATTTTGCACACAAACAAAAGTATTATAGGTGCGAGGTCAGAGACGTTGCAATTGAAAAAATCATTGATTGAATAAAAAGACTTTCTAATTTAATCAAAATCACTCAAAGGGAATTTTTAAATTTTTGTTTATTTTGTATTTTTTTTAAGTCAATTGGTAGTTTATTATATAAATTCCATATTTACTCTAAGATCATATTGATTATTTCTAGAAACAGCATATTCAGATGTTATTTTTGACCTGCATTATTGATGCAAGAATGAACAGGAAGGGAAATGTTAGTAGGTTCTATTCTGGGAATAATTCGTTACAAGAAAAGGTATACGATTTGAATAGTATAATTCTAATTATTCTCTTTTGAGTTACATCCCTGTCTGATCTACTTGAAAATTACACTTGATCATTACAAATTCAACATGAAATAGTCATCCTAGCCCCTTTGAAAATGTGGTTAAATTGCAGTAGTAGTTGGAATAAAAGGAATGTTTACATAGGGATAATTCTTGATGTCGTTTTTTTATGCACCATAATTGAAAGGTATAGTACCTGCTAAGTGTAACCTGCCGATACCATCTGAAGATGACCAAGCTGAAAACCATATACGGAAGACTAGTATTGACAAATAAATACCTACTCTCATTGCAGCGTATTTAATAAATTCAATGAATTTTATAGTATATATATATACGTATTGAAAATTTCAGAAAAATCACTCGACCGCCTACTATGATTTCCTAGATGATTTCTCTACATCACAACGAGCAAGACGCGGAACATATGTAACAGTGGGATTATTCAACTCTGAATTCGAAAAATCTGCGACAATTTCAAAACTGACAGATGTCATAGTTATGCAATGTCGCCATCTATTAGAAGATCGACGGAACCATTGCTCTCACTGTTCTCGAGAGGTCGAGTAAAATTTCTGAAACAAAAGCGCATCAGTAATTACACCATATCTTACTTCCATCATTATTAAAAGGTTAGATGTCACGATCACGATGATGTGTCTGTCATTTAAGTTTGAGCATTTGAGTAATATACACATATCACCTTATTCATATGGATAGTAGGATAGTATTTTGTCTCCAAAGAAACAGCTTCCTTTTGCGCTATGGAAACAGAGAGAGATTATCCATATGGTAGCTATACGCGCCAGGTTTCACCTGAGGGTTTTTTCTCCTGACTCCTCTGGCATGACCACCACTGCCATAATTATCTCTCTGATTCTCTTCAGGAAGACGAAGACGGGGTGGAGGTGTGCCAGAGCGGCGGCGACAAGCAATCCAAAGGCTCTTCGGAAGGAGACGGGACCACGGGCAGCTACTCGAGTCTGGAGGACGACGAGGCCGAAGGAGTGGACCAGCTGGCAGCGCTGGTGGCTCGATACCAGATCGACAATGTCAATCTCGGAAACGGAAACAAGATATGTGAGTAGGCGCCGTTCACAACATATAACTACACTTCTACCAAAAATCAACGCACCACCGAAAAATACCCAGTGATAATCTGTCATTCAAAATCGGAAACGTCCAAATCGGACAAGTAGTTTTGACAAAAATCTACCTTAAACTAAATTTAAATTGTTTTTGTTACATCTATAACACTGATCGAAACTGGCACTGGAAAACTCCACACGGTCTCCTTTGTCCCAATCTCTTGACTTCTTCTTCTCTTGTTCTTCTTGTCTGGTGATAGTCCCCATTTTCCCATTTTCTTGATCTCTTCAACTTTCTGGTGATCCTGTGATACTCTGGACTGCTTCTCACCAAGTTCTTGAATAACACAGATATCTATTGCTTCTGTCAATGAAATGTCATTTGTCTTCGGTAACATCTTCTGGGTTCTCTTATCCCAAATTCCGCTATCCCATCTCGTATGAGACTATCTTTCAAGGATTGAAACTCACAAGTTGCAGTTGTTTTCAAACACAATAGAAAATATTCAAAGGGCTCACCTTCATGTTGTTCAACAGCAAGGAAATTGAATTTTTCGATTGTTAGATTTTTCTTTGGAACAAAATATTCCTCGAACTTCTCCAGAATAATACTGAATTTGTCTTCATCCTCTTTGTTCACATATTCGAAGGTATCTTTAACGTCAATAGCATCCTCTCCGATCAAATTCAGTAATATATTGATTTTCCTTCTATCTGGAGCAGAGTCCAGTCCTGCAGCGCTCATATTTATTTCGAAACAACTACTCCATCTCAACCATTCCAATCCGTTGTTCCCCTTCATTCTCAACTGGGTCGGCTTATTGAAATTATCTGTCATTGGGACTTCGTTACAATTACTATAAGTACTACTTTATAATCTTCCTCGTTTTACTCTTCGGAAAAATCTATTCAAACCGCTGCCACCATGTATAATCTTCTTATATTGGTATAAAAAGTATCCAATTAATATGAAACTTTTATTAATTCATTTTGCCAATTATGACAATCACACATCCATTATCATGGATACACGTTACAATTCTATACATAACGAACAATCATCATTATATTAAATAAAATATCATACTATAATATACACACACTGGCAAAATTAGGGGAACGGGCAAAATTTACACTAAGTTTGACATCAATTTTCTTTCGAACCGATCGCTCGATTCAAATTTTTCTCTTCACGAAATGTAGCATCATTCTTCACGAATACATCCGAGAAATAAATACCGTCAAACGATGAGTCTTTCCATCATATACAGGGGTGTAAAGAAAGTACGGATTTTTCGGTATTTTTTTAGACATCCTGTGGACTGAACCACTGATAATTGAAACGATTTCTCAACACCAAATTGGAGTCCAATCTATTCCGAATATTTTCGTTTTCTATTCATCTTGATATCTCAAATATTCAAGAAAATACAGAGTTTCAAAGGAAAGGTGGGTATTGGTATCAATTTTACACCTCAAAACTCAAATTGGATCTGAAAATGTGTCGTTTCTTGACTAACCTAACCTAACCGTGACTAAACCTCAGCCATAGGAGACAGAAGCAGTAAAATCAAATTGTTCATTTTGTTCACCTCAGCAATACATATAGTCTTTCCCTGCCATCTATTGAATTGGTGCAGATGCGGCTCTCATATGTTAAAAGAACATTGGCCCACTGGTAATTTTCAATTGATGCTACAGCCTTCGCCACATCAGTAGGAGTTGAATCTCTCATGTTGAATTTTCATTAATCAAATTTATGAATTGTGAATCGCTTGACTTTGATAATAATAAATGACATTAACAAAATAGCCAACGTTGATTAACAAAAGTAGCATTTCACCAAAAGAATATAGAGAGTATTCGTATATGTTTCTTTAAACAGTAAACCGATAGGTTAAACTGAACAATTCTCATCTTGAAGTAAAAATCCTCACAGAAACAAGTTGAAAAACGACACGTTCTTTCCAGTTCGAGTTTCGAGGTGGTAAAATTGATACCAATATCCACCTCTTCTTTGAATCTCTATATTTTCTCGGATAATTGGGATATCAAGATAATTGAAAACCAAAATATTCGGAATAGATTGGGCTCCAATTTGGTGTTGGAAACTCGTTTCAATTATCAGTGGTTCACTCCACAGGATGTCCTAAAGAATACCGAAAAATCCGCACTTTCTTTACACCCCTGTATATGATATAAAGACGAATCGTTTGGAGATGGTTGTTTCTCAGATATGTTCGTGAAGAATGAAGCTACAATTCGTGAAAAACAAATTTGAATCGAGTGATCGGTTCGAGAGAAAATTGATGTCAAACTTAGTGTAAATTTTACCCGTTCCCCTAATTGTGCCAGTGTGTGTATATAACAGTTCTTCATCTATTCATTTGTGGTTACGTCTGACTGTCAGTGCTTGTCAAAGTGTCCGTACTCTGCGAATACAAAAACGTCAAAACAATAAAATTGTCAAAACTCAGCAATGAATGGTTTGTACACTTTTCCAGACAATACTGACCTGCCCTCTTCTGTGAATCTCCAAACCAAAACGGCAGCCGCCAAGAGTCACCAGTCCCCCTTCGCGACTGGCTCAGATTCTGAGTCCCCCACTGAGCCGATTACTCAGCAGACAATTGCCATGCTCAGGGCCCGAGTCGTGCCAAACAACATGTAAAGGAATTTTAGAACCAAATATGTAGTTCTATATGTTCGTTGATTTTTACTTTTTGTGCGCGTTTCTAATAAAACCTTTCGAGTATTTTTGTACTGTAGTGGGATTCTGAGAGTATGTTAGCCTTTTTAGGCCTAAGACCTATTTTTTCGTAGCCATCTTCAAATTTTAACTTGATAGGCTAGGGAATATACAAGATAAAAACTGGATTCCTAGCCTTTTCTCAGTATCTTCTTCCAGATATTTCATAGAGATAATATAAATGGAAGAAAACTTAACTGGTTGTAATCGTAAACTAAGAACCTTTCTAGGAATTAATATTTGCATTCGAATATTATTCTTGATGAATTGGTTCAATTGGTGGACGAACATTTTCGATATCAACAACCTAAACTCTTATAATTTACTCTAGTTTGCAATCATAACCCAGGAGTGTAGTTTGTCTATGACCCAGGATATCATTAATTTTAGAAAATGTACTGGTGATCAGATGGAAATTGATTATTTCATTTGAATTATGCTTCATCAATACCAGTACGAATTTGATGAATCAGAATTTTGCTGATTCAGGTTTGAAAACTGCTCATTGTCGAGATTTTTGGTAACACAAATCCGTCTAAAAAACACATTAGACGTATTTGGAGGAAAAATGACATTGATCTAAAAATATACAATGGTAATAAGAAAGACATCAACCTCGTTATTTTAAATGGAAAGGTATTGTTTTTATTGCTTCTCCAAATTTCTTAGGTTATTTTAATAAGATGCCATTAGTTCGCGGACCGATGACTTAGTCATTTTTGATTATTAGAAATCTGTCAAGTTTGGGAAAGTTCAAGTAGGTACCCATAACTGATTTTTTTCAGATAGAACGTACTTAATTTTTTTTCTATCACTAAATGAAGGGGTTTTTGATTCCGCATCAATCTGTACCAATGTTCCCTATACCCGTCTCATAGTTTTCTAGTAATGATTTTTCATCATTATTGACAAACAGAAGAAACAACAGTGTCAAAATATTATACAGGGTGTTTCATAATTGAATGCTGATCCTAAAGGGTGATAATCCTTGGATGATTTTAAGAAAAATTCTTCATGTGAACATAGGTCCGTAACAGCTTCGTTTCTGAGATACAGGATGTTGAAATTTAATAAAAAAATCAGTTATTCCCCAATATCTCTGACACCGCTCTGGCTTTTTTCTTCATTACAAATACTTAAAAATAGTTACCATAAAATTATAAAAATATTGCTCAGATCTTTTGGTTACCACAATTGTGAAATTATGACTAAGAGTAAAAATCGAATAGGGACAAGCAAATGAATGCATTTTATTTTCTAACTCAAAAACCGTTCGCCGGACGAAAAAAAGACAAGAGACCATTTTTATGAGAAGATAGAGGATAATTACAAAAATAATATTCATTTGGAAAAAAGACAGTGGCGTATCATTATTTTGATGAAAAATATGACAGGGTATGTTAACAGGGACGCCACTGATAGAAATTGAGAAATCCTTCATTATGGGAAAAATGTATTTCTATTCATACTCGGCATGTACCAAAATTGAAGAAAAAAGCCAGAGCGGTTCCAGAGATATTGGGGAATAACTGATTTTTTTGTTAAATTTCAACATCCTGTATCTCAGAAACGAAGCTGTTACGGACCTATGTTCACATGAAGAATTTTTCTTAAAATCATCCAAGGATTATCGCCCTTCAGGATCAGCATTCAATTATGAAACACCCTGTACATATAGCTTTCTCTGAATGTATAGGGTCTTCACGTATATTTTGAACCCTCACTCAACATTTTTATGTATTGTTAATTTTTTTTTCAAGGAAAGTTCTTTTATATTGTTTCCTGTAGATTTCATATATACCAACAGAAAAACAGTTGAACATATCAAAAAATACTTATGGGCAACATTTATAATTTGTTCAATAGGACACTCTGTATTTTATTGCATTTTTAGATTCTCCATGGAAAGCTGATTTCATCGATCTATCACAGTTGGGGTCTAGCTGAAATGATTACAGAGATATAGGGTGTGAAAAATTGAGATTTTTTCAACTTTTCAACTTATCAGATTTCTAGATTTTTCACCACCCTGATATAATAGATCAAAAGTTAAGATAGGGACATGGAAAGCGGTTTGGCCAATAATGAATAGTTTCGACACAAAAAATTCCTAAAGTTGAAAAAATCTCAATGTTTCACACCGTATATCTCTGTAATCATTTCAGGTAGACCCCAACTGTGATAGATCGATGAAATCAGCTCTTCAGGGAGAATCTAAAAATGCAATAAAATACAGGATGTCCTATTGAAAAAATTATAAATGTTGCCCATCAGTATTTTTTGAGATGTTCAACTGTTTTTCTGTCGGCATACATGAAATCTACAGGAAAAAAAATAAAAAAAACGTTCCTTGAAAAAAAATACATAAAGAAGTTGAGTGGGGGTTCAAAATATACGTGAAGACCCTCTACCTCTCGGAATCTCATTTATTAGTCATGTGATTCCAATCAAGTTTGGACTGGTATTGAAAACCATCCATGAGATAATTTTTTCATCATTATTCTGGATAGTTTGTTTTCGTCGATCACCTGTATTAGAATAATTTTATAAAACCAGTCTAAGTGTTTAAATAGGTGCTTAGGGTGTGTAGGGCGAAAATATCCTTATGGACGAAAGAAGTACACTTAGAGTGTTTGATATATTTTTGTAATTTTTGTATGTAGAAAGTGGTAGCGTTGGTAGTGTATATGACCAAAAATATTTTCGTTTTACTATAGGTAAGTAATTTATTTTTCAGCCAGAAATCTAGGCCGATTATCTAGTGTAACTAAGACTGAATGTTTCCTTATAGATTTTTTTAGAAAACAGTTTTTAAATGACATATCTCTGGTAGAAATGTTATAATTCGCCACTAAACTTGCATCTTGTAAAATCAACTTCAACATTTCAATTCTGGAAAAATATACAATGTGATTGCTCAATATATTTGCAGTAACAAAACCTGGTGATTTTTATGTTGAAGTTTTCAGGATTAGATGTGGCTTGAGAAAAAGCTGTAGAAGCCAATATTCGGACTGATATTTCCAGAGTTAAAAAGGTTCATGAAAAATTATAAATGTATTCTATAGTAGAATAGGTGAATGTATAACGATCCATAGATTTTCTTTAATCTAATATTCATCTTCCATTAAGGAAGTTTATGACATTATTCAAAACGTATTTCGTGGCACCACAAGTTTAATTCATCTAATGAAGTTTAAAGATTATAAACGATATATTGTATTGAACAAATAATAAAAACTACACTGTAACTGAACACCTCCAATTCAATTAACTGTTAGTAATCATTTTGAGAGCCCGATCATACTGAAAATGGTCTCAAAAACAAATAAAAATAATGATTTATACACTTATTGTGAAGTACTTAATCGATTTAATTCATATGGTTTGTAGTTTTTAACATGATGTAAAGGTTTTCCTGAAGAAAAATACTATATATTATAGCGTTTGAAATTGTAGCCTTGTAATTCTTACTTATATTCGTCCCTTTAGTATAAAAAAGATTATGTATATAGGTACATCAGGAAATGAAATGAGTATTGCCTTATTAATACTGAAATGTTCAAAGAGAAAATGATGTATTTTATTCTCATGAGAAAAGATTTTTGTTTTTCAAGAGTTGCCTGCATATACTATCGAATGTAATTTCAACTATCAATTCAAATTTACAAAATCGTAGATATACAAAAAAAATCTTCGTTTTTTCACTCCATAGGAATTCAGACTTTCATGTCACAATTCCGATTTTTAAAATAACAAATTGTATGAAAGTCAACATTTCGAGATAGGATAGATATACCGGGTGGCTACGGAAGTATTGCCTACGGAATATCTCAGTTATTGTATGAAGTAGGTTTGTGAAATTTGGAGCGTCGATATAATGACATAAGAGCTAGAATTTGAGCATATTGACATGTCGAAGTGAACTCCCGGTCTGATCGGAAGTAACATCAACTTTCTTATTTTAAATTGAAACCCTACTTTTTTTCTTTTCGCTTTATTCAGCATTCAATTCCCTTTCTAATGACATATAACAAGTTGGTATCTAACCAGAAACTAGATCAGGAAAAAATTATTATTGAAATTCACCGAGTAGGCCGTGGAAGCAAAATGAAAGCCAAAAATTGAAAAGTTGGCTATGGAAACCATACGTCACTTGATAACAGTTGCTACTACTGTGATATTTTATTTTCATTCGTCGGCGTTATAAAAAGCCGCCAAAAAAAATATTGGAAAAATTGGGAAAAAAAACAATAAGCTCTGTAGGTCCATAACTTGAATAGGAACATACAACTTTTTCTTGTCTGTACTATTCAGCATAACCATTCCTTTCTAATGATATAATAGAAAGTCATTTTTTTGCTTTCATTTTGCTTCCACGGCCTACTCGGTGAATTTCAATAATAATTTTTTTCTGATCTAGTTTCTGGTTAGATACCAACTTGTGATATGTCATTAGAAAGGGAATTGAATGCTGAATAAAGCGAAAAGAAAGAAATAGGATTTCTATTTGAAATAAGAAAGTTGATGTTACTTCCGATCAGACCGGGAGTTCACTTCGACATGTCAATATGCTCAAATTCTAGCTCTTATGTCATTATATCGACGCTCCAAATTTCACAAACCTACTTCATACAATAACTGAGATATTCCGTAGGCAATACTTCCGTAGCCACCCGGTATATGAGTCGAAATTCAGAGATGAAAATTTGAATTACTGCTCTACTCTCCTTTAGTTTTGAATTATCTTTCTGCAGATTATATGTAGGTGACTGGTAATAACATCTAATATTGCAAAAAATATTTTCACCATTCTAAAAAATGCATGTAACCAGCTTCATGTAATGTCATATGTGACTGGTAATAACATCTAATATTGCAAAAAATATTTTCACCATTCTAAAAAATGCATGTAACCAGCT